AAGAAAATGACATTTCGGATAAATCGCCCGAAATCTGTGATGTTACCCCTTTGGAATCTGCCAAAAATGGTCTCAGAATAAATTCGCCCAAATCGGCGCTTAAAGGACTTAATCATCGTTGAAAAATAGCCTCATGCTGAATCCGTGATTTGTACTCTTAAAAATCAAAAGAAAAAGGCCTTTCGTCGCCCAAAAAATTACGAAAATGCCATCCGAAAATAAATTGGCCCAAATCGGTGCTTAATGGACTTATCATCCGTGGAGAATAGGATCAATAGACTTCGTTATGGGTGGCGAATAGGCTCGGCCTGATTCCGTGAACTGCAGCCTCCAGAATCGAAAGAAAATTGCATTTCGGAAAAATCACCAAAAACTGTGATGGTACCCCTTTGGAATCTGGCAAAATTGGACCCAGAATAAATTTTCCCAAATCGGCGCTTAATGGACTTAATCATCGTTGAAGAATAGCCTCAGGCCGAATCCGTGATCTGTAGCCTTCAAAATCCGAAGAAAATGGCCTTTCGTCGCCCAAAAAATTACGAAAATGCCATCAGAAAATAAATTGGCTCAAATCGGTGCTTATTGGACTTATCATCTGTGGAGAAAAGGATCAATAGAGTTCATTATCGGTGGAGAATAGGCTCGGCCTGATTCCGTAATCTACAGCGTCCAGAATCGAAAGAAAATAGCATTTCGGGAAAATCGCTGAAATCTGTGATGGTACTCCTTTGGAATATGGCAAAAATGGACCCGGAATAAATTTGCCCAAATCGGCGCTTAATGGACTTAATCATCGTTGAAGAATAGCCTCAGGTCGAATCCGTGATCTGTAGCCTTCAAAATTCAAAGAAAATGGACTTTCGTTGCCAGAAAAATTACAAAAACGCCATCCGAAAATTAATTGGCCCAAATCGGTGCTTATTGGACTTATCATCCATGGAGAATAGGATCAATAGACTTCATTATCGGTGGAGAAAAGGCTCGGCCTGATTTCGTGATCTGCAATCTCCACAATAGAAAGAAAATGGCATTTCAGAAACATCGCCGAAATCTGTGATGGTACCCCTTTGGAATCTCGCAAAAATTGACCCGGAATAAATTCACACAAATCGGCGTTTAATGGAATTAATCATCATTGAAGAATAGCCTCATGCCAAATCCGTGATTTGTAGTCTTAAAAATCCAAAGAAAAAGGCCTTTCGTCGCCAATAAAATTACGAAAATGCCATCCGAATATAAATGGGCCCAAATCGGTGCTTAATGGATCTATCATCCGTGGAGAATAGGATCAATAGACTTCATTATCGGTGGAGAATAGGCTCGGCCTGATTCCGTGATGTGAAGCCTCCAGAATCGAATAAAAAGGAATTTCGGAAAAATCGCCGAAATCTGTGATGGTACCCCTTTGGAATCTTGCAAAAATGGACCCGGAATAAATTTTCCCAAATCGGCGCTTAATGCAGTTAATCATCGTTGATTAATAGCCTCAGGCCGAATCCGTGATCTGTAGCCGTCAAAATCCAAAGAAAATGGCCTTTGGTCGCCCAAAAAATTACGAAAATGTTATCCGAAAATGAATTGGCCCAAATCGCTGCTTAATGGACTTATCATCCGTGAAGAATAGGATCAATAGACTTCATTATCGGTGGAGAATAGGCTCTGCCTGATTCCATGATATGCAGCCTCCAGAATTGAAAGAAAATAACATTTCGGATAAATCGCCCGAAATCTGTAATGGTACCCCTTTGAAATCTGGAAAAAATGGTCCCAGAATAAATTCGCCCAAATCGGCGCTTAAAGGACTTAATCATCGTTGAAGAATAGCCTCATGCCGAATCCGTGATTTGTAGTCTTAAAAATCCAAAGAAAAAGTTCTTTCGTCGACCAAAAAATTACGAAAATGCCATCCGAAAATAAATTGGCCCAATCGGTGCTTAATGGACTTATCATCCGTGGAGAATAGGATCAATAGACTTCATTATCGGTGGAGAATAGGCTCGGCCTGATTCCGTGATCTGCAGCCTCTAGAATCAAAAGAAAATGTCATTTCGGATAAATCGACAGAAATCTGTGATGGTACCCCTTTGGAATCTGGAAAAATGGTCCCGGAATAAATTCGGCCAAATCGGCGCTTAATGGACTTAATCATCGTTGAAAAATAGCCTCAGGACGAATCCGTGATCTGTAGCCTTCAAAATCCAAAGAAAATGGCCTTTCGTCGCACAAAAAATTACGAAAATGCCATCCGAAAATAAATTGGCCCCAATCGGTGCTTATTAGACTTATCATCCGTGGAAAATAGGATCAATAGACTTCATTATCGGTGGAGAAAAGGCTCGGCCTGATTCCATGATATGCAGCCTCCAGAATCGAAAGAAAATGACATTTCGGATAAATCGCCCGAAATCTGTGATGGTACCCCTTTGGAATCTGCCAAAAATGGTCCCATAATAAATCCGCCCAAATCGGCGCTTAAAGGACTTAATCATCGTTGAATAATAGCCTCATGCCGAATCCGTGATTTGTATTCTTAAAAATCCAAAGAAAAATGTTTTTCGTCGCACAAAAAATTTAGAAAATGCAATCCGAAAATAAATGGGCCCCAATCGGTGCTTAATGGACTTATCATCTATGGAGAATAGGATCAATAGACTTCATTATCGGTAGGGAATAGGCTCGGCCAGATTCCGTGATCTGCAGCCTCCAGAATCGAAAGAAAATGGCATTTTGGAAAAATCGCCAAAATCTGTGATGGTACCCCTTTGGAATCTGGCAAAAATGGACCCAGAAAAAATTTGACCAAAATGGCGCTTAATGGACTTAATCATCGTTGAAAAATAGCCTCAGGGCGAATCCGTGATCTGTAGCCCTCAAAATCTGAAGAAAATGGCCTTTCGTCTCCCAAAAAATTAGGAAAATGCCATCAGAAAATGATTGGCTCAAATCGGTGCTTATTGGACTTATCATCCATGGAGAAAAGGATCGAAAGACTTCATTATTGGTGGAGAATAGGCTCGGCCTGACTCCATAATCTGCAGCCTCCAGAATCGAAATAAAATGGTATTTCCGAAAAATTGCCGAAATCTGTGATGGTACCCCTTTGGAATCTGGCAAAAATGGACGCATAATAAATTCAGCCAAATTGGCGCTTAATGGACTTAATCATCGTTGAAAAATAGCCTCAAGACGAATCTGTGATCTGTAGCCTTCAAAATCCAAAGAAAATGGCCTTTCGTCGCCCAAAAAATTATGAAAATGCCATCCGAAAATAAATTGGCCCAAATCGGTGCTTATTAGACTTATCATCCGTGGAAAATAGGATCAATAGACTTCATTATCGGAGGAGAAAAGGCTCGGCCTGATTCTGTGATCTGCAGCCTCCAGAATCGAATAAAAAATGGCATTTCGGAAAAATCGCCTTCAAAATCCTTTGGAATATGGCAAAAATGGACCCGGAATAAATTTGCCCAAATTGGTGCTCAATGGACATAATCATCGTTGAAGAATAGTCTCAGGCCGAATCCGTGATCTGTAGCCTTCAAAATCCAAAGAAAATGGCCTTTCGTCGCCCAAAAAATTACGAAAATGCCATCCGAATATAAATTGGCCCAAATCGCTGCTTAATGGACTTATCATCCGTGAAGAATAGGATCAATAGACTTCATTATCGTTAAAGAATAGGCTCGGCCTGATTCCATGATATGCAGCCTCCAGAATCGAAAGAAAATGACATTTCGGATAAATCGCCCGAAATCTGTGATGATACCCCTTTGGAATCTGGCAAAAATGGACCCAGAATAAATTTGCCCAAATCGGCGCTAAATGGACTTAATCATCGTTGAAGAATAGCCTCAGGCAGAATCAGTGATTTGTAGCCTTCAAAATCCTAAGAAAATGGCCTTTCGTCGCCCAACAAAATACGAAAATGTCATCAGACAATGAATTGGCTCAAATCGGTGCTTATTGGACTTATCATTCATGAAGAATAGGATCAATAGACTTCATTATCGGTAGAGAATAGGCTCGGCCCGATTCCGTGATCTGCAGCCTCTAGAATCAAAAGAAAATGGCATTTCGGATAAATCACCCGAAATCTGTGATGGTACCCCTTTGTAATCTGGAAAAATGGTACCGGAATAAATTCGCCCAAATCGTCGCTTAATGGACTTAATCATCGTTAAAGAATAGCCTCAGGCCGAATCAGTGATCTGTAGCCCTCAAAATCCGAAGAAAATGCCCTTTCGTCGCCCAAAAAATTACGAAAATGCCATCAGAAAATGATTGGCTCAAATCAGTGCTTATTGGACTTATCATCCGTGGAGAAAAGGATCAATAGACTTCATTATCGGTGGAGAATAGGCTCGGCCTGATTCCATAATCAGCAGCCTCCAGAATCGAAAGAAAATGGCATTTCCGAAAAATCGCCGAAATCAGTGATGGTACCCCTTTAGAATCTGGCAAAAATGGACCCATAATAAATTCGCCCAAATTGGCGCTTAATGAACTTAATCATCGTTGAAGAATAGCCTCAGGCCGAATCCGTGATCTGTAGCCTTCAAAATCAAAAGAAAAGGACTTTCGTCGCCCAAAAAATTACGAAAATGCCATCTGAAAATAAATTGTCCCAATCGGCGCTTAATTGACCTATCATCCGTGGAGAATAGGATCAATAGACTTCATTATCGGTGGAGAATAGGCTCGGCCTGATTCCGTGATGTGCAGCCTCCAGAATCAAATGAAAATGGAATTTCGGATAAATCGTTGAAATCTGTGATGGTACCACTTTGGAATTTGGCAAAAATGGACCCGGAATAAATTTGCCCAAATCGGCGCTTAATGGACTTAATCATCGTTGAAGAATAACCGCAGGCCGAATCCGTGATCTGTATCCTTCAAAATTCAACTAAATTGGCCTTTCGTCGCCCAAAAAATTATGAAAATGCCATCCGAAAATAAATTGGCCCAAATCGGTGCTTATTGGACTTATCATCCGTGGAGAATAGGATCAATAGACTTCATTATCGGTGGAGAAAAGGCTAGGCCTGATTCCGTGATCTGCAGTCTCCAGGATCGAAAGAAAATGGCATTTCAGAAAAATCGCCGATATCTGTGATGGTACCCTTTGGATTCTCGCAAAAATTGACCTGGAATAAATTCACCCAAATCGGTGCTTAATGGACTTAATCATCGTTGAAGAATAGCCTCAGGGTGAATCTGTGATCTGTAGTCTTAAAAATCCAAAAAAAAGGCCTTTCGTCACCCATAAAATTACGAAAATGCCATCCGAAAATAAATTGGCCAAAATCGGTGCTTATTGGACTTATCATCCGTGGAGAATAGGATCAATAGACTTCATTATCGGAGGAGAAAAGGCTAGGCCTGATTCCGTGATCTGCAGTCTCCAGAATCGAAAGAAAATGGCATTTCAGAAAAATCGCCGATATCTGTGATGGTACCCTTTGGAATCTCGCAAAAATTGACCTGGAATAAATTCGCCCAAATCGGCTCTTAATGGACTTAATCATCGTTGAAGAATAGCCTCAGGCCGAGTCTGTGATCTGTAGCCTTCAAAATCCAAAGAAAATGGCCTTTCGTCGCCCAAAAAATTACGAAAATGCCATCCGAAAATAAATTGGCCCAAATTGCTGCTTAATGGACTTATCATCCGTGAAGAATAGGATCAATAGACTTCATTATCGGTGGAGAATAGGCTCGGCCTGATTCAATGATATGTAGCCTCCAGAATCGAAAGAAAATGACATTTCGAATAAATCGCCCGAAATCTGTGATGGTACCCCTTTGGAATCTGCCAAAAATGGTCCCAGAATAAATTCGCCCAAATCGGCGCTTAAAGGACTTAATCATCGTTGAAGAATAGCCTCATGCCGAATCCGTGATTTGTAGTCTTAAAAATCCAAAGAAAAAGGACTTTCGTCGCCCAAAATATTATGAAAATGCCATCCGAAAATAAATTGGCCCCAATCGGTGCTTAATAGACTTATCATCCGTGGAGAATAGGATCAATAGACTTCATTATCGGTGGAGAATAGGCTCGGCATGATTCCGTGATCTGCAGCCTCCAGAATCGAAAGAAAACGGCATTTTGGAAAAATCGCCAAAATCTGTGATGGTACCCCTTTGGAATCTGGCGAAAATGGACCTAGATTAAATTTGCCCAAATCGGCGCTTAATGGACTTAATCATCGTTGAAGAATAGCCTCAGGCCGAATCAGTGATCTGTAGCCTTCACAATCCGAAGAAAATGGCCTTTCGTCGCCCAAAAAATTACGAAAATGCTATCCGAATATAAATTCGCCTAAATCGGTGCTTATTGGACTTATCATTTGTGGAGAATTGGATCAATAGACTTCATTATCGGTAGAGAATAGGCTCGGCCTGATTCCATGATCTGCAGCCTCTAGAATCAAAAGAAAATGGCATTTCGGATAAATCACCCGAAATCTGTGATGGTACCCCTTTGGAATATGGAAAAAATGGTCCCGGAATAAATTCGCCCAAATCGTCTCTTAATGGACTTAATCATCGTTGAAGAATAGCCTCAGGCTGAATCCATGATCTGTAGCGTTCAAAATCCAAAGAAAAAGGCCTTTCGTTGCCCAAAAAATTACGAAAATGCAATCCGATAATAAATTGCCACAAATCGGTGCTTATTAGACTTATCATACGTGGAGAATAGGATCAATAGACTTCATTATCGGTGGAGAATCGGCTCGGCCTGATTCCGTGATCTGCAGCCTCTAGAATCGAAAGAAAATGACATTTCGGATAAATCGCCCGAAATCTGTGATGGTAGCCCTTTGTAATCTGCCAAATATGGTCCCAGAATAAATTCGCCCAAATCGGCGCTTAAATGACGTAATCAGCGTTGAAGAATAGCCTCATGCCGAATCCGTGATTTGTAGTCTTAAAAATCCAAAGAAAAAGGTCTTTCGTCGCCCAAAAAATTACGAAAATGCCATCCGAAAATAAATTGGCCCCAATCGGTGCTTAATGGACTTATCATCCGTGGAGAATAGGATCAATAGACTTCATTATCTGTGGAGAATAGGCTCGGCCTGATTTCGTGATCTGCAGCCTCCAAAATCGAAAGAAAATGGCATTTTGGAAAAATCACCAAAATCTGTGATGGTACCCCTTTGGAATCTGGCAAAAATGGACCCAGAATAAATTTTCCCAAATCGGCGATTAATGGACTTAATCATCGTTGAAGAATAGCCTCAGGGCGAATCCGTGATCTGTAGCCCTCAAAATCAGTAGAAAATGGCCTTTCGTCGCCCAAAAAATTACGAAAATGCCATCAGAAAATGATTGGCTCAAATCGGTGCTTATTGGACTTATCATCCATGGAGAAAAGGATCGATAGACTTCATTATTGGTGGAGAATAGGCTCGGCCTGATTCCATAATCTGCAGCCTCCAGAATCGAAAGAAAATGGTATTTCCGAAAAATCGCCGAAATCTGTGATGGTACCCCTTTGGAATCCAACAAAAATGGACGCATAATAAATTCGCTCAAATTGGCGCTTAATGGACTTAATCATCGCTGAAGAATAGCCTCAGGCCGAATCCGTGATCTGTAGCCATCAAAATCAAAAGAAAAGGCCTTTCGTCGCCCAAAAAATTACGAAAATGCCATCCGAAAATAAATTGTCCCAATCGGCGCTTAATAGACCTATCATCCGTGGAGAATAGGATCAATAGACTTCATTATCGGTGGAGAATAGGCTCGGCCTGAATTCCGTGATGTGCAGCCTCCAGAATCTACTGAAAATGGAATTTCAGATAAATCGTCGTAATCTGTGATGGTACCACTTTTGAATCTGGCAAAAATGGAACCGGAATAAATTTGCCCAAATCGGCGCTTAATGGACTTAATCATCGTTGAAGAATAGCCTCAGGGCGAATCCGTGATCTGTAGCCCTCAAAATCAGTAGAAAATGGCCTTTCGTCGCCCAAAAAATTACGAAAATGCCATCAGAAAATGATTGGCTCAAATCGGTGCTTATTGGACTTATCATCCATGGAGAAAAGGATCGATAGACTTCATTTTTGGTGGAGAATAGGCTCGGCCTGATTCCATAATCTGCAGCCTCCAGAATCGAAAGAAAATGGTATTTTCGAAAAATCGCCGAAATCTGTGATGGTACCCCTTTGGAATCCAACAAAAATGGACGCATAATAAATTCGCTCAAATTGGCGCTTAATGGACTTAATCATCGCTGAAGAATAGCCTCAGGCCGAATCCGTGATCTGTAGCCATCAAAATCAAAAGAAAAGGCCTTTCGTCGCCCAAAAAATTACGAAAATGCCATCCGAAAATAAATTGTCCCAATCGGCGCTTAATAGACCTATCATCCGTGGAGAATAGGATCAATAGACTTCATTATCGGTGGAGAATAGGCTCGGCCTGAATTCCGTGATGTGCAGCCTCCAGAATCAACTGAAAATGGAATTTCAGATAAATCGTCGTAATCTGTGATGGTACCACTTTTGAATCTGGCAAAAATGGAACCGGAATAAATTTGCCCAAATCGGCGCTTAATGGACTTAATCATCGTTGAAGAATAACCTCAGGTCGAATCCGTGATGTGTAGCCTTCAAAATTCAAAGAAAATGGCCTTTCGTCGCCCAAAAAATTACGAAAATGCCATCCGAAAATAAATTGTCCCAAATCGGTGCTTATTGGACTTATCATTCGTGCAGAATAGGATCAATAGACTTCATTATCGGTGGAGAAAAGGCTAGGCCTGATTCCGTGATCTGCAGTCTCCAGAATCGAAAGAAAAAGGCATTTCGAAAAAATCGCCGATATCTGTGATGGTACCCTTTGGAATCTCGCAAAAATTGACCTGGAATAAATTCACACAATTCGGCGCTTAATGGACTTAATCATCATTAAAGAATAGCCTCTGGGTGAATCCGTGACCTGTACTCTTAAAAATCAGAAAAAAGGACTTTCGTCACCAATAAAATTACGTAAATGCCATCCAAAAATAAATTGGCCCAAATCTCTGCTTAATGGACCTATTATCCGTGGAGAATAGGATCAATAGACTTCATTATCAATCGAGAATAGGCTCGGCCTTATTCCGTGATCTGCAGCCTCTAGAATCAAAAGAAAATGTCATTTCGGATAAATCGACCGAAATCTGTGATGGTACCCCTTTGGAATCTGGAAAAATGGTCCCGCAATAAATTCGGCCAAATCGGCGCTTAATGGACTTAATCATCGTTGAAAAATAGCCTTAGGACGAATCCGTGATCTGTAGCCTTCAAAATCCAAATAAAATGGCCTTTCGTCGCCCAAAAAATTACGAAAATGCCATCCGAAAATAAATTGGCCCCAATCGGTGCTTATTAGACTTATCATCCGTGGAAAATAGGATCAATAGACTTCATTATCGGTGGAGAAAAGGCTTGGCCTGATTCTGTGATCTGCAGCCTCCAGAATCGAAAGAAAATGGCATTTCCGAAAAATCGCCGAAATCTGTGATGATACCCCTTTGGAATCTGCCAAAAATGGTCCCACAATAAATTCGCCCAAATCGGGGCTTAAAGGACTTAATCATCGTTGAAGAATAGCCTCATGCCGAATGCGTGATTTGGAGTCTTAAAAATCCAAAGAAAAAGGTCTTTCGTGGCCCAAAAAATTACGAAAATGCCATCCGAAAATAAATTGTCCCAAATCGGTGCTTAATGGACTTATCATCCGTGGATAATAGGATCAAAAGACTTCATTATCGGTAGAGAATAGTTTCGGCCTGATTCCGTGATCTGCAGCCTCTAGAATCAAAAGAAAATGGCATTTCGGATAAATCACCCGAAATCTGTGATGGTACCCCTTTCGAATCTGGAAAAAATGGTCCCGGAATAAATTCGCCCAAATCGTCGCTTAATGGACTTAATCATCGTTGAAGAATAGCCTCAGGCCGAATCCGTGATCTGTAGCCCTCAAAATCCGAAGAAAATGCCCTTTCGTCGCCCAAAAAATTACGAAAATGCCATAAGAAAATGATTGGCTCAAATCAATGCTTATTGGACTTATCATCCGTGGAGAAAAGGATCAATAGACTTCATTATCGGTGGAGAATAGGCTCAGCCTAATTCCATAATCAGCAGCCTCCAGAATCGAAAGAAAATGGCATTTCCGAAAAATCGCCGACTTCTGTGATGGTACCCCTTTAGAATCTGGCAAAAATGGACCCATAATAAATTCGCCCAAATTGGCGCTTAATGAACTTAATCATCGTTGAAGAATAGCCTCAGGTCGAATCCGTGATCTACAGCCTTCAAAATCAAAAGAAAAGGCCTTTCGTCGCCCAAAAAATTACGAAAATGCCATCTGAAAATAAATTGTCCCAATCGGCGCTTAATAGACCTATCATCCGTGGAGAATAGGATCAATAGACTTCATTATCGGTGGAGAATAGGCTCGGCCTAATTCCGTGATGTGCAGCCACCAAAATCAAATGAAAATGGAATTTCGGATAAATCGCCGAAATCTGTGATGGTACCACTTTGGAATTTGGAAAAAATGGACCCGGAATAAATTTGCCCAAATCGACGCTTAATGGACTTAATCATCGTTGAAGAATAACCGCAGGCCGAATCCGTGATCTGTAGTCTTCAAAATTCAACTAAATTGGCCTTTCGTCGCCCAAAAAATTACGAAAATGCCATCCGAAAATAAATTGGCCCAAATCTGTGCTTATTGGACTTATCATCCGTGGAGAATAGGATCAATAGACTTCATTATCGGTGGAGAAAAGGCTAGGCCTGATTCCGTGATCTGCAGTCTCCAGAATCGAAAGAAAATGTCATTTCAGAAAAATCGCCGATATCTGTGATGGTACCCTTTGGAATCTCGCAAAAATTGACCTGGAATAAATTGACCCAAATCGGTGCTTAATGGACTTAATCATCGTTGAAGAATAGCCTCAGGGTGAATCCGTGATCTGTAGTCTTAAAAATCCAAAAAAAGGCCTTTCGTCACCCATAAAATTACGAAAATGCCATCCAAAAATAAATTGGCCCAAATCGGTGCTTATTGGACTTATCATCCGTGGAGAATAGGATCAATAGACTTCATTATCGGAGGAGTAAAGGCTAGGCCGGATTCCGTGATCTGCAGTCTCCAGAATCGAAAGAAAATGGCATTTCGAATAAATCGCACGAAATCTCTGATGGTACCCCTTTGGAATCTGCCAAAAATGGTCCCAGAATAAATTCGCCCAAATCGGCGCTTAAAGGACTTAATCATCGTTGAAGAATACCCTCATGCCGAATCCGTGATTTGTAGTCTTAAAAATCCAAAGAAAAAGGTCTTTCGTCGCCCAAAAAATTATGAAAATGCCATCCGAAAATAAATTGGCCCCAATCGGTGCTTAATGGACTTATCATTCGTCGAGAATAGGATCAATAGACTTCATTATCGGTGGAGAATAGGCTCGGCCTGATTCCGTGATCTGCAGCCTCCAGAATCGAAAGAAAATGACATTTTGGAAAAATTGCCAAAATCTGCGATGGTACCCCTTTGGAATCTCACAAAAATTGACTCGGAATAAATTCTCCCAAATCGGTGCTTAATGGACTTAATCATCGTTGAAGAATAGCCTCAGGCCAAATCAGTGATCTGCAGCCTTCAAAATCCATAGAAAATGGCCTTTCGTCGCGCAAAAAATAACGAAAATGCCATCCGAATATAAATTGGTTTAAATCGGTGCTTATTGGACTTATCATTCTTGGAGAATAGGATCAATAGACTTCATTATCGGTAGAGAATAGGCTCCGCCTGATTCCATGATCTGCAGCCACTAGAATCAAAAGAAAATGGCATTTCGGATAAATCACCCGAAATCTGTGATGGTACCCCTTTGGAATATAGAAAAAATGGTCCCGGAATAAATTCGCCCAAATCGTCGTTTAATAGACTTAATCATCGTTGAAGAATAGCCTCAGGCTTAATCCATTGATCTGTAGCGTTCAAAATCCAAAGAAAAAGGCCTTTCGTTGCCCAAAAAATTACGAAAATGCCATCCGATAATAAATTGCCACAAATCGGTGCTTATTAGACTTATCATACGTGGAGAATAGGGTCAATAGACTTCATTATCGGTGGAGAATCGGCTCGGCCTGATTTCGTGATCTGCGGCCCCCAGAATCGAAAGAAACTGGCATTTCGGAAAATCGCCCGAAATCTGTGATGGTACCCCGTTGGAATCTGTCCAAAATGGGCCCGGAATAAATTCGCCCAAATCTGCTCTTAATGGAGTTAATCATCGTTGAAGAATAGCCTCTGGCCGAATCTGTGATTTGTAGCCTTCAAAATCCAAAGAAAATGGCCTTTCGTCGCCCAAAAAATTAAGAAAATGCCATCCGAAAATAAATTGGCCCAAATCGCTGCTTAATGGACTTATCATCCGTGAAGAATAGGATCAATAGACTTCATTATCGGTGGAGAATAGGCTCGGCCTGATTCCATGATATGCAGCCTCCAGAATCGAAAGAAAATGACATTTTGAATAAATCGCCCGAAATCTGTGATGGTACCCCTTTGGAATCTGCCAAAAATGGTCCCAGAATAAATTCACCCAAATCGGCGCTTAAAGGACTTAATCATCGTTGAAGAATAGCCTCATGCCGAATCTGTGATTTGTAGTCTTAAAAATCCAAAGAAAAAGGCCTTTCGTCGCCCAAAAAATTACAAAAAGGCCTTTCGTCGCCCAATAAATTGGCCCCGATCGGTGCTTAATGGACTTATCATCCGTGGAGAATAGGATCAATAGACTTCATTATCGGTGGAGAATAGGCTCGGCCTGGTTCCGTGATCTGCAGCCTCCAGAATCGAAAGAAAATGGCATTTTGGAAAAATCGCCAAAATCTGTGATGTTACCCTTTAGAATCTCGCAAAAATTGACCTGGAATAAATTTTCCCAAATCGGTGCTTAATGGACTTAATCATCGTTGAAGAATAGCCTCAGGCCGAATCAGTGATCTGCAGCCTTCAAAATCCATAGAAAATGGCCTTTCGTCGCGGAAAAAATAACGAAAATGCCATCCGAATATAAATTGGCCTAAATCGGTGCTTATTGGACTTATCATTCGTGGAGAATAGGATCAATAGACTTCATTATCGGTAGAGAATAGGCTCGGCCTGATTCCGTGATCTGCAGCCTCTAGAATCAAAAGAAAATGGCATTTCGGATAAATCACCCGAAATCTGTGACGGTACCCCTTTGGAATCTGGAAAAAATGGTCCCGGAATAAATTCGCCCAAATCGTCGCTTAATGGACTTAATCATCGTTGAAGAATAGCCTCATGCCGAATCCGTGATTTGTAGTCTTAAAAATCCAAAGAAAAAGGTCTTTCGTCGCCCAAAAAATTATGAAAATGCCATCCGAAAATAAATTGGCCCAAATCACTGCTTAATGGACTTATCATCCGTGGAGAATAGAATCAATAGACTTCATTATCTGTGGAGAATAGGCTCAGCCTGATTTCGTGATCTGCAGCCTCCAGAATCGAAAGAAAATGGCATTTTGGAAAAATTGCCAAAATCTGTGATGGTACCCCTTTCGAATCTGGCAAAAATGGACCCATAATAAATTTGCCCAAATCGGCGCTTAATGGACTTAATCATCGTTGAAGAATAGCCTCAGGGCGAATCCGTGATCTGTAGCCCTCAAAATCTGAAGAAAATGGCCATTCATCGCCCACAAAATTACGAAAATGCCATCAGAAAATGATTGGCTCAAATCGGTGCTTATTGGACTTATCATCCATGGAGAAAAGGATCGATAGACTTCATTATTGTTGGAGAATAGGCTCGGCCTGATTCCATAATCTGCAGCCTCCAGACTCGAAAGAAAATGGTATTTCCGAAAAATCGCCGAAATCTGTGATGGTACCCCTTTGGAATCTAACAAAAATGGACGCATAATAAATTCGCCCAAATTGGCGCTTAATGGACTTAATCATCGTTGAAGAATAGCCTCAGGACGAATCCGTGATCTGTAGCCTTCAAAATCAAAAGAAAAGGCCTTTCGTCGCCCAAAAAATTACGAAAATGCCATCCGAAAATAAATTGTCCCAATCGGCGCTTAATAGACCTATCATCTGTGGAGAATAGGATCAATAGACTTCATTATCGGTGGAGAATAGGCTCGGCCTGAATTCCGTGATGTGCAGCCTCCAGAATCAAATGAAAATGGAATTTCGGATAAATCGTCGTAATCTGTGATGGTACCACTTTGGAATCTGGCAAAAATGGAACCGGAATAAATTTGCCCAAATTGGCGGTTAATGGACTTAATCATCGTTGAAGAATAACCTCAGGTCGAATCCGTGATGTGTAGCATTCAAAATTCAAATTGGCCCAATTCGCTGTTTAATGGACCTATCATCCGTGGAGAATAGGATCAATAGACTTCATTATCGATGGAGAATATGCTCGGCCTGATTCCGTGATCTGCAGCCTCTAGAATCAAAAGAAAATGTCATTTCGGATAAATCGACAGAAATCTGTGATTGTAACCCTTTGGAATCTGGAAAAATGTTCCCAGAATAAATTCGGCCAAATCGGCGCTTAATGGACTTAATCATCGTTGAAAAATAGCCTCAGGACATATCCGTGATCTGTAGCCTTCAAAATCCAAAGAAAAAGGCCTTTCGTCGCCCAAAAAATTACGAAAATTCCATCCGAAAATAAATTGGCCCAAATAGGTGCTTATTAGACTTATCATCCGTGGAGAATAGGATCAATAGACTTCATTATCGATGGAGAAAAGGCTCGGCCTGATTTTGTGATCTGCAGCCTCCAGAATCGAATAAAATGGCATTTCGGAAAAATTGCCAAAATCTGTGATGGTACCGCTTTGGAATCTGGCACAAATGGACCGGTATTAAATTTTCCAAAATCGGCGCTCAATGGACTTAATCATCGTTGAAGAATAGCCTCAGGCAGAATCAGTGATCTGTAGCCTTCAAAATCCTAAGAAAATGGCCTTTCGTCGCCCAAAAATTACGAAAATGCCATCAGAAAATGAATTGGCTCAAATCGGTGCTTATTGGTCTTATTATTCGTGGAGAATAAGATCAATAGACTTCATTATTGGGAGTGAATAGGCTCGGCCCGATTCCGTGATCTGCAGCCTCTAGAATCAAAAGAAAATGGCATTTCGGATAAATCACCTGAAATCTGTGATGGTACCCCTTTGGAATCTGAAAAAAATGGTCCCCGAATAAATTCACACAAATCGTCGCTTAATGGACTTAATCATCGTTGAAGAATAACCTCTGGCCCAATCTGTGATTTGTAGCCCTCAAAATCCGAAGAAAATGCCCTTTCGTCGCCCAAAAAATTACGAAAATGCCATCAGAAAATGATTGGCTCAAATCGGTGCTTATTGGACTTATCATCCGTGGAGAAAAGGATCAATACACTTCATTATCGGTGGAGAATAGGCTCGGCCTGATTCCATAATCTGCAGCCTCCAGAATCGAAAGAAAATGTCATTTCTGAAAAATCGCCGATATCTATGATGGTACCCTTTGGAATCTCGCTAAAATTGACCTGGAATAAATTCAACCAAATCGGCGCTTAATGGACTTAATCATCGTTGAAGAATAGCCTCAGGGTGAATCCGTGATCTATAGTCTTAAAAATCCAAAAAAAAGGCCTTTCGTCACCCAAAAAATTACGAAAATGCCATCAAAAAATAAATTGGCCCAAATCGCTGCTTAATGGACTAATCATCCGTGGAGAATAGGATAAATAGACTTCATTATCGATGGAGAATAGGCTCGGCCTGATTCCGTGATCTGCAGCCTCTAGAATCAAAAGAAAATGTCATTTCGGATAAATCGACAGAAATCTGTGATGGTACCCCTTTGGAATCTGGAAAAATGGTCCCAGAATAACTTTGCCCTAATCGGGGCTTAATCATCGTTGAAAAATAGCCTCAGGCCGAATCCGTGATCTGTAGCCTTCAAAATCCAAAGAAAAAGGCCTTTCGTCGCCCAAAAAATTACGAAAATTCCATCCGAAAATAAATTGGCCGAAATCGGTGCATATTAGACTTATCATCCATGGAGAATAGGATCAATAGACTTCATTATCGGTGGAGAAAAGGCTCGGCCTGATTCTGTGATCTGCAGCCTCTAGAATCGAATAAAATGGCATTTCGGAAAAATCGCCGAAATCTGTGATGGTACCCCTTTGGAATCTGGCAAAAATGGACCAGGAATAGATTTTCCCAAATCGGCGCTAAATGGACATAATCATCTTTGAAGAATAGCCTCATGCCGAATCCGTGATTTGTAGTCTTAAAAATCCAAAGAAAAAGGCCTTTCGTCGCCAAAAAAATTACGAAAATTCCATCCGAAAATAAATTGGCCGAAATCGGTGCATACTAGACTTATCATCCATGGAGAATAGGATCAATAGACTTCATTATCGGTGGAGAAAAGGCTCGGCCTGATTCTGTGATCTGCAGCCTCTAGAATCGAATAAAATGGCATTTCGGAAAAATCGCCGAAATCTGTGATGGTACCCCTTTGGAATCTGGCAAAAATGGACCAGGAATAGATTTTCCCAAATCGGCGCTAAATGGACATAATCATCTTTGAAGAATAGCCTCAGGCCGAATCCGTGATCTGTAGCCTTCAAAATCCAAAGAAAATGGCCTTTCGTCGCCCAAAAAATTAAGAAAATGCCATCCGAAAATAAATTGGCCCAAATCGCTGCTTAATGGACTAATCATGCGTGGAGAATAGGATCAATAGAATTCATTATCGGTGGTGAATAGGCTCGGCCTGATTTCGTGATCTGCAGCCTCTAGAATCAAAAGAAAATGACATTTCAGATAAATCGACCGAAATCTGTGATGGTACCCCTTTGGAATCTGGAAAAAATGGTCCCGGAATAAATTTGCCCAAATCGGCGCTTTATGGACTTAATCATCGTTGAAGAATAGCGTCAAGCCGAATCCGTGATCTGTAGCCTTCAAAATCCAAAGAAAAAGGCCTTTCGTCGCCCAAAAAATTACGAAAATTCCATCCGAAAATAAATTGCCCGAAATCGGTGCTTATTAGACTTATCATCTGTGGAGAATAGGATCAATAGACTTCATTATCGGTGGGGAAAAGGCTCGGCCTGATTCTGTCATCTGCAACCTCCAGAATCGAAAGAAAATGGCATTTCGGAAAAATCGCAGAAATCTGTTATGGTACCCCTTTGGAATATGGCAAAAATGGACCTGGAATAAATTCGCCCAAATCGGCGCTTAATGGACTTAATCATCGTTGAAGGATAGCCTCAGGCCGAATCCGTGATCTGTAGCCTTCAAAATACAAAGAAAATGGCCTTTCGTCGCGCAAAAAATTACGAAAATGCCATCCGAAAATAAATTGGCCCAAATCGGTGCTTATTGGACTTATCATCCCTAGAGAATAGACTCAATAGACATCATTATCGGTGGATAATAGGCTCGACCTGATTTCGTGATCTACAGCCTCCAGAATCGAAAGAAAATGGCGTTTCGGAAAAATTGCCTAAAATCTGTGATGGTACTCCTTTGGAATCTGCCAAAAATGGTCCTGGAATAAATACGCCCAAATCGGCGCTTAACGGACTTAATCATCGATGAAGAATAACCTCAGGCCGAATTTGTGATCTTTACCCTTCAAAATCCAAAGAAAATGGCCTTTCGTAGACCAAATAATTATGAAAATGGCATCAGAAAATAAATTGGCCCAAATTGGTGCTTAATGGACTTATCATCCGTGGAGAATAGGATCAATATACTTCATTATCGGTGGAGAATAGGCTCGGCCTGATTCCGTGATCTACAGCTTACAAAATCGAAAGAAAATGGCATTTCGGAAAAATCGCCTGAAATCTGTGATGGTACCCCTTTGGAATCTGCAGAAAATGGGACCGGAATAAATTCGCCCAAATTGGCGCTTTATGGACTTAATCATTGATGAAGAACAGCCTTAGGCCGAATCCGTGATCTGTAGCCTTCAAAATCCAAAGAAAATGGCCTTTCGTCGACCAAATAATTAAGAAAATGTCATCCGAAAATAAATTGGCCCAAATTGGTTCTCAATGGACTTACATCCGTGGAGAATAGGATCAATAGACTTCATTATCGGTGGAGAATAAGCTCGGCCTGATTCCGTGATCTGCAGCCGTAGAATCGAAAGCAAATAGCATTTTGGAAAAATCGCCCGAAATCTATGATGGTACCCCTTTGAAATCTTCCAAAAATGATCCGGGAATAAATTCGCCCAAATCGGCGCTTAATGGACTTAATCATTGCTGAAGAATAACCTCGGGCCGAATCCGTGATCTGTAGCCTTCAAAATCCAAAGAAAATGGGCTTTCGTCGCCCAAAAATTTTTGAAAATGCCTTCCGAAAATAAATTGGCCCAAATCGGTGCTTAATGGACTTATCATCCCTGGAGAATAACTCAATAGACTTCATCACCGGTGGATAATAGGCTCGAACAGATTTCGAGATCTACAGCCTCCAAAATCGAAAGAAAATGGCATTTCGGAAAAATCGCCTAAAATCTGTGATGGTACCCCCTTTGGAATCTGCCAAAAATTGGACCGAAATAAATTTGCCCAAATCGGCGCTTAATGGACTTAATCATCGATGAAGAATAGCCTCAGGCCGAATCCGTGATCTGTAGCCTTTAAAATCCAAAGAAAATGTCCTTTCGTAGACCAAATAATTATGAAAATGTCATTAGAAAATAAATTGCCCCAAATTGGTGCTTAATGGACTTATCAATCGTGGAGAATAGGATGAATAGACTTCATTTTAGGTGGATAATAGGCTTGGCCTGATTTCGTGATCTACATCCTCCAGAATCGAAAGAAAATGGCATTTCGGAAAAATCGCCTAAATTCTTTGATGGTACCCCTTTGGAATCTACCAAAAATGGGCCCGGAATAAATTCGCCCAAATATGCGCTTAATGGACATAATCATCGATGAAGATTAGCCTCATGGCGAATCCTGATGTGTAGCCTTCAAAATCCAAAGTAAATGGCCTTTCGTAGACCAAATAATTACGAAAATATCATCCGAAAATAAATTGGTCCAAATCGGTGCTTAAGGGACTTATCATCCGTGGAGAATAGGATCAATAGACTTCATTATCGGTGGAGAATAGGCTCGGCATGATTCCTTGATCTGCAGCCTGCAGGATCGAAAGAAAATGACATTTGGGAAAAATCGCACGAAATCTGTGATAGTACTCCTTTGGAATTTGCCAAAAATGGGCCCGACAATAATTCGCCCAAATCGGCGCTTAATGGACTTAATCATCGATGAAGAATAGCCTAAGGCAGAATCCATGATCTGTAGCCTTCAAAATCCAAAGAAATTGGCCTTTCGTCGACCAAATAATTATGAAAATGTCATACGAAAATAAATTGGCCCAAATTGGTGCTTAATGGACTTATCATCCGTGGAGAATAGGATCAATAGACTTCAATATCGGTGGAGAATAGGCTCGGCCTGATTCCGTGATCTGCAGCCTCCTGAATCAAAAGAAAATGGCATTTAAGAAAAATCGCACGAAATCTGTGATGGTACCCCTTTGGAATCTGCCAAAAATGGGCCCGGAATAAATTCGCCAAAATCGACGCTTAATGGAATTAATCATCGATGAAGAATAGCCTCAACCCAAATCCGTGATCTGTAGCCTTCAAAATCCAAAGAAAAAGGACTTTCAAATAATTACGAAAATGCCATCCGTAAATAAATTGCCCCAAATCGGTGCTTAATGGACTTATCATCCGTGGAGAATAGGATCAATAGACTTCATTATCGGTGGAGAATAGGCTTGGCCTGATTCCGTGACCTGCAGCCTCCAGGATCGAAAGAAAATGGCAATTGGGAAAAATCGCACGAAATCTGTGATGACCCCCTTTGGAATCTGCCAAAAATGGGCCCGACATAAATTCGCCCAAATCGGGGCTTAATGGACTTAATCATCGATGAAGAATAGCCTCGGGCCGAATCCGTGATCTGTAGCCTTCAAAATCCAAAGAAAATGGCCTTTTCGTCGACCAAATAATTACGAAAATGTCATCCGAAAATAAATTGTCCCAAATTGGTGCTTAATGGACTTATCATCCGTGGAGAATAGGATCAATAGACTTCATTATCGGTAGAGAATAAGCTCGGCCTAATTCCGTGATCTGCAGCCTCTTGAATCAAAAGAAAATTGCATTTCGGAAAAATCGCCCGAATCTGTGATGGTACCCCTTTGAAATCTGCCAAAAATTGGCCCGGAATAAATTCGCCCAAATCAACGCTTAATGGACTCAATCATCGTTGAATAATAGCCTCAAGCCAAATCCGTGATCTGTAGCCTTCAAATTCCAAAGAAAATGGTTTTTCGTCACCCAAAATTTTATGAAAATGCCATCCGAAAATAAATTGGCCCAAATCGATGCTTAATGGACTTATCATCCCTGGAACATAGGATCAATAGACTTCATTATCGGTGGATAAAAGGCTCGGCCGGATTTCGTGATCTACAGCCTCCAGAAACGAAAGAAAATGGCATTTCGGAAAAATCGCCTAAAATCTGTGATGGT